TCCTCCACATGCATTCTCCGCCTCACATTCTTGTCCTGTTTGCTCCAAGGATAGGAACTCCTGTTTCCCAAGGTAGACACTTCCAGTTTGAGATGACTATTGGCTAACAGTGTTTCTTTATTTTTATCAATAACTGTAATTTTTACTCTTTGGTCCTTGTTCCCTTGCTTGCAGCAGGGATCCTATCCATGCATTTTTTTCCCATGAACTTGTTGAAGACTCATCGAAATAAACTTAACCTTTAATTCCATTTCCCCACCAAGGTTTGAAAGTCGGTATGGTGACTCAGTCTGCGGCTTAACCCTGCCTGGGCACTAGATCCACCTGGGGAGCCTTTGAACACCAGCTGCTTGGGCTGTTGGACTCCGAGACAGCAAGAACCAAGTTCTAAAACTCTTTAGATGAGTCTGCTGTTCATCCTCAAAGGAGCATTACTGGCTTAAAGCCTCTTCTCCAGCGCACTCTTTGGTGAGTTAAGGAGACCTCACCTGAGTCTAATCTTCTCTTCCTTAGGCTGTGACTTTGAACTATCCCCTGGGAGCAGACAATGCAAGGTGATTGGCAGTTACTATGGGCAACCTTGGAGAGGAGAAGCAGCAGGAAGCAACCAAGGAAGACTTGGAAGCCCAAAGGCAGTGGTGGGATTTACTTGTTTTCTTTCATGTTTTAAAAGTATAACCAAGTAGATAAACAGGACTTCACAAAGTTAAAAACTTTTGTGCTTCAAAGGACATCAGCAAGAAATATAAAGGACAACCATGGAATTGGAGAAATATTCAGAAAAATCTGATAAGATTCTAGTGTTTAGGATATTAGCATAGAGGATTATCACAAGTCAATGGTAAAATGATAAATAATCTTATCAAAAATGTACAAAATTTAAATAGACATTTTTCCAAAGAAGAGCTATAAAAATACAACCAGGTTTCTCTCATCACACACACACACAACCCAATACCATGAAACCTATGGAATTCTACAAATTTACCAACATTGTTGAGTTTGCCAGAAATTTTTCATAATACATAATACATTATTTAAAAATTATTTTTCTGATGTGGTACATCTGACTGTGGTGGGATGGGGCCACTCTGTCCTGCCCTTCTCCTAACTTGGGCCGTGTATTGGTAGAACCCAAGGCCAACCTCAGAGGCAGACAAGCTGGGCCTTGAGGGAAAAAGAAAATCTGGATTTTCCAAACAATGACTATTTTATTGCAAAGACAAGGATTGCCTGGAAGTGTCTTTTAGAAATGTTTAAGGAGTTTTTTTTTTTTAATTTTTCTATCTTAATGAAATATTTGGCTTATTTCTTTGCAGATATGAAATACTATAGTTCATAAAGTAATTAGAAAGTAATACAAGGCAGTGTTTATTGAAGAACTCAGTACCAACTGTAGGTACAATGATAATGAAAGGAAGGAGAAAATGAGCAGTTGCCTGTTCTCATATAGGTTGTCTTAATATAAACTCAGTTTTGCGTGTAAGGCTCTTGATGGCTCAATAGAATTCTCCAATTATTTTAAAGGCTTTTGTTTCAGGTTAAAAATGAAAATAATTATGTAGATTTATTTAAAATTTATTTTTTAAAAAAATACTGAAACATAGAATGTGAGCAACAACTTACTACAAGCTAGCTCTACACATTATAATGACCAAAAGAGATGCCATCACAGTGAATAGCTACAGACCATGGTTCTCAATATTCAGTAGTGTGTGGAGGCTTTTAAAAAAATTTTTTTAAAGATTTATTTATTTATTTGAAAGGCAGAGTTACATAGAGACAGAGTCAGAGAGAGAGAGAGAGGTCTTCCATCTGCTGGTTCACCCCCCAAATGGCCGCAACAGCTGGAGCTGGGCCCATCTGAAGACAGGTGCCAGGAGCGTCTTCCAGGTCATGTTGGAGGCTTTTGACAGTGACTGTTATTGTATGTAGTGGCTCAAGAACAGGGATGCTGCTAAATAGCTTCTAACACAGAGGACAGTCCCCACATAGCAAAGAATCATCTGGCTTAAAATGTCAACAGTGCCATGGGTAAGAAACCCTGGATTAAAAGAACTAAAGTACAACCAATTCCATGAATAAAATACAGTCATTAAAAACACAATCTTGGGGGCTGGCAAGTGGTACAGCGGGTTAAGCTTCTGCCTGCAATGCCTGCAATGCATACGGGTGCTCCACTTCCGATCCAGCTCCCTGCTAATGGCCTGGGAAAAGCAGAGGAAGAAACTCCTGGCTCCTGGCTTCAGCTTCGCCTAGCCCTAGCCATTGGGGTCATTTGGGGAGTGAACCGGTATATACAAGATCTCTGTCTCTGTCTCTCCCTCTCTCTAACTCCAACTTCCAAATAAATAAATCTAAAACAAAACAAAACAAAACAAAAACAAAAACAAAACCAACAACAACCTAGAAACCATCTTGTAGGGGCAGACATAGTGGTGCTGTGGACTAAGCCACAACTTAGGATGCTTGCATCCCTAGCTCCTCGTTATCCTATTTAGCTTCCTGTTAATGCAGCCTGGAAGAAGTGGGTGATGACCCCTGTGCTTGGGACCCTGCCGTCCCCGGGGGAGACCTGTGTCATGACTTGACTTGGTACAGAGATTGCACTAGATAGACCAAGCAACTTACACACAAGAGAAATTGCCCAATCCCATGTGGCTGCTTTTTCTTTCATTTTTGTCATTTATTTGAGAGATGTAGGTACTGAAGAGGAGGGAAGTAGGGAAGAAATCTCCAATTCACTAGTTCATTCCTCCAAATATCTGCAACAACAGGATTGTACCTGGCCAAGGCTCAGAGCCAGGAACTCTATCTGGGTCTCCCACAAGGGTGACAGGGACCCAACTACTTGGGTTGGGCCATCACCTTTGCCTCTCAAAGTATGCATTAGTAGGAATTGGAATTGGGAGTAAAGTTGGAACTTGGACCCAGGTACTCAGATATGGAATGCAGGCATTGCAAGCATTTTTAACAGGCAAGCCAAACATCTGCTTTCTAGGTATTTTCTTTAAGCTGTCATTTTTTCCCAGCACAGGGGCAAAAGGCTCCATATCAAAAAGGAACTCATGGGACAAAAGCTGGTCAAAAGGCACAAGATTTCAGTTAAAAGATGGGTAAGTTCTGGAGATTTAATGTGTAGACAGTGAAGTTAATGAGAATGGACTGCAGACTTGAAATCTGCTAAGAAGTTAGATCTTTTTATTTTTTTATTTTTTTTATTTTTTTGACAGAGTGGATAGTGAGAGAGAGGGACAGAGAGGAAGGTCTTCCTTTGCCGTTGGTTCACCCTCCAATGGCCGCCGTGGCCAGCATGCTGCGGCCGGCGCACCGTACTGATCCGATGGCAGGAGCCAGGTACTTATCCTGGTCTCCCATGGGGTGCAGGGCCCAAGCACCTGGGCCATCCTCCACTGCACTCCCTGGCCACAGCAGAGAGCTGGCCTGGAAGAGGGGCAACCGGGACAGAATCCGGCGCCCCGACCGGGACTAGAGCCCGGTGTGCCGGCGCCACAAGGCGGAGGATTAGCCTAGTGAGCCGTGGCGCCGGCCAAGAAGTTAGATCTTAAGTAGTCTCCCCAAACATGTGAAAAATAAAATTACATGAGGTGACATATCTCTTAATTAGCTTGATGACAGTCATTTCATAATGATATGTATATCAAAACATCAAAACATCACATTGTACACCTGAGAAATACATTTACATATAACTTTTTAAAAAAATTTTTGACAGAGTCATAGACAGTGAGAGAGAGACAACAGAAGGTCTTCCTTCTGTTGGTTCACCCCCCAAATGGCTGCTATGGCTGGTGCTGTGCCAATCCAAAGCCAGGAGCCAGGTGCTTCCTCCTGGTCTCCCATGCAGGGGCAGGGACCCAAGCACTTGGGCCATCCTCCACTGCCTTCCCAGGCCATAGCAGAGAGCTGGACTGGAAGAGGAGCAACCGGGACTGGAACCTGGAGCCCATATGGGATGCTGGTGCTGCAGGCGGAGGATTAACCAAGTGAGCCATGGTGCCAGCCCTACATATAACTTTTATCTGCTAACTATACCTCAATAAAATTGAGGCAGCAGGTGTATGGGGCAGCAGTTAAGATGCTGCTTGGTATGCCCATATCCATGCTGGAGTGTCCAGCCTGGAGTCCTGGCTCCACTTCAGATTCCACCTTCCTGGTAATGTGCATCCTGGGAGGCGGCAGGCAGTGAATCCATTGGTTGGTGCCTTGTTACCCAAGAAAGAGATCTGGATTGAATTCTGGGCTCCTGCTTTTGGAATGGCCAGAGCCAGCCACTGGGAGTAGCTGGTGAGTCAGTGAATAGGATATTTCTCTCTCTCTCTCTTTCTCTCCCGTCTCTACCTTTATTTCAAACAATAAATAAATAAATAATATTTTTAATTGTGGGGAAAATAGGAACTTGAGTACTTTATTCTTGTCTACTGATATAGCCACTTTCTCAGCCTCTCCAGGCTTCCAGATCTGTTTCTGGTCTCCCTGGCTACAAGCCTTGGTTATACTCTTCTTAATCTGTTTCAGGGTTATGACTGAGGCTTCTCTCAATAATAATTCTGATTATGTACTTGAGCTGCTTTGCAAAACCTCTAGGAATTATGTCTTCTCTACAAAGGGAACAGGATATACCAGTGCTTTTGGCAGAATATATTTTGGGGTTGGGAACTGTACAAATCTTCCCAGCTTCCCAGCCCATTCTGGGCTGAATGGTGTCAGAAAAACTGACCCCTGTTCTTCCAAATTCCCTTTCCTTCTTGGCTATTTCATATCTTTTCTTCTCAATTGTCCACAGTTTCTGGTCTGTTAGGACAAAATGTTGCTTTTGTCTTAGAGCCAAAATGTGAATACCCAAATCGTGAGAGCTAGCACACGGTTGTATTCCCAGTGCCTACACAGAATTAGGCGTTCCACAGCTGGGCGCTCTTACCTGTATGCACTATATCCTGCACAGTGTCATTCTCACAGGGAGCAGTGACTCAACTTACCTTGTAGTGGAAGAGAAACAATCCACAGAACAGGCTGTACAGATCTGCTGTGAGCAGGGAGAGGTTGACCGAAGTGGCACTGGTTTTCTTTATGACGACTGGCATAAAGCTGTAGAGACCAAACATGCAGGCACTAAAGCCAACATAGAGCAGTCCTGTGGGGTGTGAAGAGAGGGCAATGTCAGGGTCTCACTCAAGCCTTCCTCAGCAGCCACAGTGGGAGAACACAGTGGGATAGTGCACACCACCTATCACTCACAACAGCAGTTGTTATTTCACTGTGTTAACTGTTGTTGACTGTCGGGTAATACAAAGCAGAGATGTGCAAAGTCAAAATTCCAGTGTGAAACGAACTTTCTACTTCTTACACAGCTGACATCTTGCTTTTTCAGGGAAGGAGCGCCTCCTAGTGGCTGCATTCCCAAGCTTCTGGATTCTCTGCCCAACTGTCTACAAATCACTCGTGCCATCCATGTGTTTTTAAATTTTTTAGAAAATTCTAGTTTTTTATTTATAAAACAGGGACAAAACTGCTTGGTACTATGTATTGCTCATAATAACTGCATAGTCTTTCACACTGAAGGGCTCACATGTCAATGAGACCTGGCTTTGGAAGACTGAATTGGAATCCTCACTGTGTGACCTTGGGCAGACCATTTCTCTATTCTGAGCATAGGATGGTCTTCCTGCTTCTTCCACATTCTTGAATTCTGCTCCACATCATCCCTGACACATTGAGCGCTACCCTCCCAGCACCTTTCCCAGCATACCACAGACTCTTACACATGGGCTTGATGCCTTGAAGGTGATGTATACCAGCCTCTTATCTTAAATTCTCTCTAATATGCAATGATGCCTAGATAAATAATTATTAATAATTCCATGAAATCTCAACTTTCTAGGGTTCCAAACAGGAGTTTATAGCTAAATCTAGACCGCAGTTTATCTTTTCCCTGATGTTGATACAATGCAAATATAGAAAAATGATATTGGTATCCACCTTGAAAGAATAAGGCATAGAACAAGTGTAAATGGTACAATTCAGTGGATCAGTGGGCGTTACAGTAGAAATCCTTCTTTAAATAGGAAGACTTGATTAAATGTATCTGATATGGGCTATGGACAGATCGCTTCCTCTGGATTCTGGGAGTTTTGAGGGATGTGGTAGGTACTGGATACCCAGTCCTTCTGAGTAGGAAGACCAGGGATTCCCCCAGAGAAATTTTGTTTGCCTGTATGAAATATGGAAAGTATTTAATGGTACAAATCCTCATTCTCTATGTTTCTGATACTAAATTTAAGACAAGCCAGATCAGATCGATATAAAACATTTTTCTGAACATTAAGTAAGTGAACTCAATACAACAGCCCCCTCTAGTGTGGTATACATGCCCTTGGAGGAGGCTGGAATAGTCACTTCAATTTCTTAAGTGTCTATGCAGTCAAGGTAATGTCAGATGGATTTTGTTTCTACACCAGAAGTTTTTACTCCTAAAAATCATCAGTTGTTCTATGTCGCTCCCCCTCTTCGTGGAGGAACGACACTAAACCCTGCCTAGGCTTCATATCCGAGTCACGGCACCATTATGTCGCTCCCCGTCTTCGTGGAGGAACGACACAGGACCCTGCGCTGTTCTTTTGTCTGCTCGGCCCTTCCCGGGTTTGCTGCTGGTTCTTCCTGGGTTGGCTGCCGTCCCTTCCACCTCCGTGGAAGGGCAGTTCCCCCTGGCCACTTTCCCCACTTCAGCAGGGGAGCAGCACACCGCCGGCCGGCTCTCTCGGGGGCTGCACAGGTGTTCCTTCAGATAGATGTTCCTGGTGCATGTTGTCTCTCTCCTCCTTTATAGTCCTCTTCCACCAATCCCAACTCTGCTACCCACACGCTGAGTACGCTGCTCTCCTCCAATCAGGAGCAGGTCCTACAGTTTATTGGTTGAACTGGAGGCAGCTGTGTAGAAGCTGTTTCTCCCTTCTCAGCGCCATATTGTGGGAGAGCAGATGCATAGAATAAGTCTTAATTCCAGTAACTTAGTCTAGTCCGAGTTGCTCCCCACAGTTCTATATTTAGGTTTCATGTTTCTTATAATACATTTTTCTTTAAACCAAGTTACTAAAAATGCAACAAATACTATATAATCTATGAGTAACTATTACTAAAATATGAAATGTCATAAACATTGATGTGGTACTCCTTAAAGAAATCTGTGATTAGCAGACTAGGGATAAGATATATCCTTAAACAGATGCATGAAAAATAATCAGACTTGATCAGAACACAGAACAGGCACCAGGGTACCACTAATTCAGATCATACCATGACTGACTAGAAAGTTCCAGAATCCTGCCCTTCCATCTTCTCACAAAGCACACTACACTCTGCATGACTCTGACTTGTGGGCTCTGATGATACAATGGAACACAGGATAGACAGGAAGTTGAAAGCTGCATCAATGCTCCCACAGATCGCTTCTCGGCCTTTTGGCTATGATCAAGCGTAATGCTCCCACAGAGAAGGGCAGGGTGGCTGCTTTAGGCAGCTGGTTAAGCAAGATTGCTTTACGAAAGTGGCCTTTACCTTGAACGCTGAAGGACCAAAAAGAGATTGCCACAGGACAAGCCAGGGAAAGAATACTTTAGGCAGGGAGATTTGCCCTGAGAAGGGCCAGGGCCTATAGTGTTCCAGGAGCTACCAGAGCCAGAATGAATGAGGATATTGAACAGAATGGGCAGTGAGAAGAGATGAGGCTAGAAAATTAGGAAGGGGATGGATTATGCAGGGCCCTGCAGGTATTGGAAAGAAATTTATTGTCTTATTTCAGCTTCAAGATGAAGCCACTCTTAGTAATACTTGACTAACATGATCTGATCCAATTTTCAAAATATGACTTTGCCTACTCTGAGGAAAAGTGGTTGGAAAGGCAAAAGCAGGGCTTGAACACCAGGGTTCAAGTTCAAGCAAGAGAGGCTGGCAGCTTGCTTGGTTTCACTGTGAAGGGCACTGGAGAAGGCAAGTGGCCAGGTCTGTGAAGACGCAACCTCCATGGCTCAATAGGCTAATCCTCCACCTTGCGGCGCCGGCACACCGGGTTCTAGTCCCGGTTGGGGCGCCGGATTCTGTCCCGGTTGCCCCTCTTCCAGGCCAGCTCTCTGCTATGGCCAGGGAGTGCAGTGGAGGATGGCCCAGGTGCTTGGGCCCTGCACCCCATGGGAGACCAGGAAAAGCACCTGGCTCCTGGCTCCTGCCAGGATCAGCGCGGTGCGCCGGCTGCAGCGGCGGCCATTGGAGGGTGAACCAACAGCAAAGGAAGACCTTTCTCTCTGTCTCTCTCTCTCACTGTCCACTCTGCCTGTCAAAAAAAAAAAAAAAAAAAAAAAAAAGACGCAACCATCCCTGGTGACAGATGTTCATAAACAGAGAAAGGACGATATCAAGGATGCCAGGGTTCCAGTTACTGTGGAGATCAGGTAGATTGTGATGCCACTTACTGAGATGGAGAGAACCAAGGGAAGGTCAAATTGTCAGAGGAAATAAAAAGCTCCATCTTGAATGTGTTAAGTTTAAGACGCTTATGTATCATCCAAGAATATCTGTCCAATGGGGGGGGGGTGCTCAAGGAAGAGGCGTGAGTCTATAAGCACACCCAGGAAGCCAAGGAGACTGGGAATACAGACACACAGGAGGCTTTCACTTTGCTCCTCAGGTCACCTCTGGATGCCTTCCACTTAACCATTCTAAATGTAATTTTCAAAGCTGCAGAAATTAGATGTAGGGGACAAGAGTAGAATAGATAAATCACCATAGTTCATCACTTTGCTAGGCTAACCGATGCTTTTGTGTGAAAGTATCTATCCTGATTTGTAAGCAAAGCATGGTCAGTCAAATAAACACACAATTGAACTGAAAGTTGAAATACAGAATTGCTGTACTTTGGTGATTTGCTGTTCTTAGGTGAACATTAGCCAGTTAGTGGACACTAGCAATGCATTCAAAGGTCCGACTTGCTATCCATTTAGAGTTTTCAGTTGATCAACATCATCAAACATGTATAATGAATTACTTTTGGCAGACATCTACATAATAGCTGTGATGACTGCATGGACAGAGGAGGTATATAACCATCTATTTGAAATGTTTTCTCTTTCACTAAAGATCAAATTTGGTTGCTCTTGTCCTCATGTGCCAAACACGTTTAAGTTAAGGAAATTGGAAGTAATCGTATCAGCTAAAATGAACCAGATGCTTATTATGCTTCAAATACTGTATATACATTAACTAATCCCCACAGCAGTATAATATCCTTACTATGGTTATCCTTTTTAGACAAGGAAATCAGCTTGTAGAGTGTATCAGTCAAGAAACACAGTGCATTCCAGGTATAAACGAGGAAAATTTAATATGGAGCATGATGTGTAAAGGCGTTTGTTTCAGTGGGTAATGGGGAAACAGGAACAGTGAGGCCACTCAAAGATGAGCAGTAACAGTTAAGTTGCTTGCACTCCAAGAGTTGAAGAAATACAGCAAGGAGGATATCATAGAGACCTGACTCAAAAGAGGGAATCAAGGAGAAACATGCTGGCTTCTTTCTTCCTCCCCTCTCTTCCCCGACCTCCCATCTTCTCCAAACCTAGCTGGAAGCCTGCTGACAGAAGTCTGGGTGGTGTGGCTGGCATGAGCAGAGCAGAACAGGGGTAAGAAATGGACCTGTGAGTAATCAGACCAAAGACCAGCACACAGGGCTTGAGCAACCTGCCCCCAAGTCACATGAACAATCTGACTTTGAATTCTGAATAATTATCACTAATCTATATTGCTTATTAGGAAGAGAAATCAGGCTTTGAAAGAGCATCCTATCTGACTGTGATGAAAGTCTTACTTTATATGAAATATAGATGATATGATATATGATGGGGACTTCCAAAAGTTCACTGAAAAATGAAACTGATTGATAAGCTCATTCTTGTGCCCAAAATGCTTTAATCCATGCATATTTTTATAATATGCATTTTCCATCTATACTAGATTTATAAAATATTTTAAGTCTTAAAAATAATGCCCAGATGAAATGTCTTCTCAGAACAGATGAATTAAGCTAAACTTGTGAAGAGTGCCAGTTGGCTGTGTTGGTCCAGTACAAATTAGTCCCACCATAGGCAGCCGAGATCCTGGTCAAGGCCCATTAGTTCTCTAGGCCTCAGATTCAGTATTACCAAAAGAAATGCTACATTCTGTTTCAGTTTTTATTTTATTTATTTTTTTGTTCTTAATGGTCTTAAAGGTCCTTCCTGCTCTATGGTCCCATTATCTCATCTTCAGGGAAAAGCCAATCTCTTATTTTGGCCTTCAGGGGGAGAAAAACAACTAAAAACCCAAATAAGCATTGATCATAACATGAGAAATGAGGAAGCCTGCTGCATACCACACACCCCAACCAGCTGACCTGGTACATTTCCTTCCCCGTGACACCTGACAGTGAAATCATTTTGCATTTGCTCACCATCCTTTAACACAATATGGCAAGTGGGATGAAGGGAAGGTTTAAGTTATTCACTGGATTTCTGACCATTCCTGCTCTCCGGGAGGACACTGTAGCAGACATTTTAGTTGAGTTTAGTGCTTAGATAATCACAATGAGTCCTTCTGTTCAATAGGTTAAACAAAGGAAAAATCCAAACAGCAATGACTACCATCTTCCTGGTTTTAATTCTTCTGTACCTTGCAATTGGCCCATGTTGTAGGAAAATCACACAAATCTGCTAGACAAAAAAGTCTTCAAGCCCAGAAAACACAAGACCCATTTATTATCCCACTTAATCCAGAGGGGAGAAAAACATTCTTTTTTACTTTGATAAAGTGGCAAGCACTAGAGCTGTCCAGATTGAATGAGATGGATTAGTAGAGGGAAGGGGACTCTCTCACAGATCACAAGAAGTGAAAACCATCTTGGATGATGGTTTCCTACTGAAAACAATGGACGTTCTCCACCAGGACACAGTGGTCCAAGCCTGGCATTGCATGGCACACTGCTGGGTGACTTCCCAGGGAGTGCAGGGAAAGGGGAGAGGATGCTAATTTGCCTCTGGTGTATAAGTGGCTGCTCTGCTATCCCCCAGTTCCCAGAAAGAAAGTGCAACATCAAGCCTTCTTCCAGTCCACTTCACTTTTTTCTACATTTTGTGAGATGAGAGAGAGCAGGACAGGACCCATTTTCTTGGCTGACATTCATTCATTTGCTATTCAATAACTATTTGTTCCTTGAATGTTCCGTGCCTAGAACTGAGCTAAACAGAAATACACAACAAATCAGAGTGAGCTAATGAAGACAGAGTTGGCCCTGGAGTTAAAAAAGAAATCTCAAACTGAACCCCACAAATGGTTCAGAAACAAAAGGATGAGTATTTGATTCCCCGTCCAGGCCATTTTGGCCTCATTTCCAATCAAGAATCAAACCCACAGCTCTGTGGTGCATTCCTTCCACACCACTCTTTGTCATCTTGGACTACAGGGGACTGACCTTTTAATGCCAATATGAGAGTTCAGAACAAAACTATCTTTGGATGACACACTTAATGAACATAGAATTATAATAGAACCTCAATGGACATGCACATGACATCCGCATAATTAGAAGACCAATTCTTTTTGATGATTGCTATTACCGTCAATATCAAATTAATTTATACTCACAGACCGCTGTGATGTGAAGTGCTACCAACCACCAGTAACATTTTGTTTCCTGGCTTTGAGAGTCACAAAAGCAAGTGCTTCTGTAACCTGCAGCTGGTTTCCTTCCCTGGCTGCCCTCCTCTCCTCTCCCCATTCTCTCCTCTCTATTGATTTTCATTTAATTATAACGCTCTGGAGTAAAACTCGAGGGAGATTACATGGCAGGGCTCTGTGACAGACAGAAGAGCCGGTCGACCCCTGAAGTCACTAGAGATAACCCCCAGGGAGAGTCATGTGTAATTCTGTGGCTCAGAGTGTGCCTTCAGAGGGAGGTATGCTGCCAGCCAGATGGACTCAGATGCTTAGAGGCTGGGGGAAGTAAAGGGGTGCGCAGGAGTTTATGGCATTGTTTCCCTTCCTTGTGAGAGAATCTGATAAAAGCTGTCTGCTATATCAGAGCGCATATGAACTGGAAATGGCTCACTCAGCTTCAGAATGGGGGTGGAGTGTGGGGGGGAGGCATTGTGCTTCACCTGATATTTGCATTCATCTTGCATGTGTTTTTTTTTTTTAATTTTTTAAATTTTTTTTATTTTTTGACAGGCAGAGTGGACAGTGAGAGAGAGAGAGACAGAGAGAAAGGTCTTCCTTTGCTGTTGGTTCACCCTCCAATGGCCACCACGGCCAGCGCGCTGCGGCCGGCACACCACGCTGATCCGATGGCAGGAGCCAGGGTCTCCCATGGGGTGCAGGGCCCAAGGACTTGGGCCATCCTCCACTGCACTCCCTGGCCACAGCAGAGAGCTGGCCTGGAAGAGGGGCAACCGGGACAGAATCCGGCGCCCTGACCGGGACTAGAACCCGGTGTGCTGGCGCCGCAATGCGGAGGATTAGCCTAGTGAGCCGCGGCGCCGGCCGATTGCCTGTGTTTTATAGTCATCCCCACAGGCCAAACTCTGTGCTCACTGCTGGGACCCGGGAGTCTCAGTACAGACAATGAGGGAATGCCTTCTGAGGGTATTAAACGGCAATCTAGGGCAATCTAGGGCTTGCTGTCGGATCGATCATTTGACCATTACCTAGGATTTTAAATCCCTGTCCTAAATGTTTCAGGGGAAAGCGATTTTTTAGAAATAGGTGCACTCCAAGATGCCCTGGATAAGTATGAACTAGCTTGAACTGTGCTTGATTTTTTTTCTAAGTCCATTTGGAGATCAATTAACCATTTCTTATGTGCAAATGCTCCCTCAGAACAGGCTTTTATGGGCACAGAATGCCCATTACGCTGTTTTCTTTCATCCCTTTTTGTCAAGTTCGGTTTTCTTCCCTTTACTTTTTAATGATCACATCAGTTGCCTGTTTCTTGGCTGCAGCAAATCGCTGTCATTTATGTGCTACCACTGCCTCAGGGCATTTTTTTCTCTTTTTGGTTGGTCTTTAACCTAATAACACACTTCTGTGCCTTCCCTAATGGCATCTTGATGATGATAATGGGAAGAAGCTCAATTAAGAAACACGAATCATACAATTCAGTCTCTTACAGTGTGCAGGAATTCTTAAAATGATAAGAGAATTTCATCTTCCTTTGTCCCCTGCCATTTTAAGTCCCTTTCTTGTTCATGTCCCCGCCCGTATCACTTTTCAAACACATATCTCAGGCTTACTAAACACAGCACTAAGTGAGCAAACCCCTTACCTATTTGCCAATCCCAGGGCACCTTTAGCAGCTCCTTGTGCTCCATGATAGCTCTGTGAATTCAAACAAAGTGGATCCGATGAGCAAGGTTATACTCCGTTCTATCTTATTTTTCATTTACTAGATCTATGCAAATAACGAAACAACCAAATCAACTTAAAAAATAACTTTCTGTCACACAGGGGCAAGGCTGATTAGGCAGAATGGCCTTGCTGGCTGTGGGCAGCAGTATGCCAGTGGGCTTGGTGGAACCCAAACCTTCCACTGTCCTCATCCAAGCAGACTACCTTCAGCCCTTGTTCTCCTTGCTCAGATGCTTCCTAAAAGAGCAAATAACATGATTCAGAAAACTTCTGCACTGGCAGGTTTAATTGATTTTCGATTGCACATTCTCCAGGGCAGGGATTCTCAGAGTTAAATGTCTCTCAAAGCTACTTAGCTTGCTAAGACACCTTTTCTGGGACCCGTTCCTAGGGATCCTGATTCATAGCTCTGGGAAGGGCTCACGAGGTGTTTTCCTAACAAGTTCTCATATGACACCAGTGCTGGTGGTCCACGGGCCACATTTTGAGAAGCACTACTCAGGAGGAAGACCAGGAGGTAAGGCTGCCGCCATTCCACCAGCATTGCTTTGGTTCCAGGGCACTCTTGATGTATCCAGCTGCTACACGCACCCTTATTTTGACAGCAGATGTCTCCAGAGCACTTAGTTCTAGTGGACTAGAGGTGAAACAAATGAGCACTGGATCCCTGGATATGTTTTTTGGACTCAACAGTAGTAATATGTAAAATGAGCCATTCTTGTACAAAATGTTGGCTATGAATAGTTGAATTACATGATTTCCTCTCACCAAGCTAAAGTTTTAAATGCCATCAGAGTTTCAAAATAAACCAAAAATAAATCCCCTTCAGTCTTGTTTGCTATGGAGTTTGTCGTCAGTATCTCAGGGTACCAACATTTGAAGAATTTGGAGAACCTATTTGCAAAACATGTTTAAGGTGATGCCAAAATATCTTCCATAAATAATTTCAGATACTAAATCAATACAATTACAAATTACTTGCTTTGTAGAAAGATATTTATTGAAATCAGAATTATTTGTTAGTAGAGAAGGTGGTTTGGTAAGATTAGACTGGAGGTTATACTATCATTCTTTACCTCTTGTAAGAAGCTAAAATTCATGGTCCTTACAGACAGAAAAGTATGTTTTGTATGACACGAAAATTTCTGAAGCACCAGTGAGGACTTATATGTTCCAATTCCAGAATTATTGCCCAAACTGGTGCTTTTGACTGATATTTAGTGAATGTCTGTGTTATATCTTCACCTTTACAAGGAAAATGGAAGTGCTGAATTCTAAGAGAAAATTTGAAATGTGATTTACTCTTACAAATCTAAGGGCAATAAAAGAACAAATTTATAAAAGGGCAATTTTAGGTGCTAGCATTGTGGTGTATCTGGCAAAGCTACTGCCTGTGACACCAGTATCCTACATGGGTGCTGGTTCATGTCCTAGCTGCTTTATTTCCCATCCAGCTCCATGCTAAAGGCCAGGGAAAAGTAGCGGAGGATGGTCCAAGTGTTTGGGCCCCTGTTACCCTAGTGAGAGACTGGATGAAACTCCTTGTCCATGGCTTCAGCTTGGCCCAGCACTAGCCGTTGCAGGCATCTGGGGAGTGAACCAGTGGACAGACAATCTCTGTCTCTCCCCCAACTCTATGACTTTGACTTTCAAATAAATACATATATAAATCTTTTAAAAGGGCAATTTTAATCTGTGAGTTCTCCAGCAGTCACTGTCACTAATCAATACAATATGCCTTTTTGGAAGTGCATCAAATTGTGGTATTTGTGTTTGGCTTTTCCATTTCTCTAAGTAATAGCCCACTCACTGGTTTGGGAAAGTCAATATGCTTCTAATGATTTCTTGAAAATTATCTTCAAAGTCCATGAAATGTTTTAGAATAATTTATAGTAAACTTGTTTGTTTTGGAAGAAATGCACTAATCAGGATGTTGAACTTGCAGATTTCATAAGATCTCTAGGTGGTGATCAGCCTTGACTGTTACACCCCAAGGACAAAAATGGTGAGAGTAAGTCCTGATGGTTTCCACTGTCTGAATTTCTTGTTAGTTTTACTCACAATTGAATTCCACTGAAAAATGCACCAAAGAGACCAATCATCCCCAGGAATTCCACTCGGCTCAGGGTTCGGATGATGTACTCTTCCCAGACATTAGAGATACCATAGAGTGTGGCGCCTCCTAAGACCAGAAGGTCCCCTACCAGCTTATTTTCCCCTGGGAAACAAAACACAAAACAAAACCAAAAATAAAAGCAAAACAAAAAACAGACATGGTTTCATTAAATATATCTTAACAAGAACCTGGCACCTGTCAATCAAGCTTCCTTTACCTCTTCTATTCTGGCTTTTTTTTTAAAAAAAAAAAAAGTCCTTCAATTTCCAAGTGAGATTTAACAAAGTTTGTTTATGTGCTGCTCTAGAGGCAGCCTTGAGGGAACGGAGCTGAGAACGTGATTCTGAGAGGGCTGGGCACGCTCCCGGAGCTCGTGAAGCATGAGCCAGCCCTGCTCAGAAACCGAGCTGGGAACCTGATCAGGCCCTGCTGGGAAACAGACCTGGTGGGAGGTTTCTGGGAGCATCTTCTAGGACAATTAAGGTAGCTGTGACAGAGGGTGAAATCTTCAGGAAATCGGCTAACGTTTATTTGTCCACCATAAAATACTGACAAATTTTTAATTTTAATTCATTAGAGGAATATATATACTAAATCATATTGAACATGATTCAGTCTCTTTTCAACCAGGAGACATTTTACAACCCTGTGAGGACATGAGGTCATTATTGTATCAATTATTGCTGTACTCATGAGGTGTGAAAGTGCTTCTTAATAGAATTCTTGGTTAATAAAATTAATTTTATATGAATGAATTCAGGAAAGCTAAATTACATGAAGTATTTTAATAGGAATTAGAGGAACATAAATCTATCTTTTTAAATATCTAAAAAGAGGACACACCGTTTTAGTGTGTAGTCTCACTAATATTTTCCAAGCTCCACATTTGTTCAGCTAATGCCTATTCTGCTAACTGGCTCCACTAGAAGTGCCAATAGAGTACTAAACATCTTCACTAATTCAGCACTAATTTTTAATAGCAATAATACAACTTTGTGTAACTGCAAGCTCGTTAGTGTTTTCTAGCTTAACTGTATCAAATGATTAGATATCATTTATTCTAATTTCATTGGTAATTATAGTTGTCAGTTTTTAAATAACTTTAAAGTGGATACATATGCATTTAGCATATATGAAAATTTAGCTGATTAAATGTAATTAAGCTAACCAGAATATAATTTTATATAGCCATTTATATAATGAAGTATTTGATATATGATGCAATATTTTATATCTAAAATTTGTCTCTTTAACTGGAAATTACAACATAGTACTCCATATTTTGTGCACTGTTAGTGCAGCAGATACCTGACTTGTGGTACCAGTTTTTGCACAATGTTCATGGGTAAAATTATGCTTGGAATATGTGTCACTTACTTGTGTGTGAAACCACAACATGCAATAATGTTGCTGAAAATTTTGGGTAAGTGGACAATTTAAAATTGTGAAATGTCCACCCAATCTGATACTTCTCTCCCTATGAATTTCACATCATTAGCATCTGTGGATAGTTCTGACCATATCCTAGTCCATGTCTGTTGCTTGTTAACTTGTGTGTCTTATTTCTTCTTCCACCCGTTCTCTTACAAAGCAGGGTCAAAGGGCATGGACCGTGACTCACTCAGCTGCATTTGTGGTCCCTGATGTAAAGCCTGGAGCATTGTAAATTTTCAATAAATGTCTAAATGTCTAGATGATGTGAGTTGACTGAAAAGATCTTAGTTCATCATATGGTAAAGGTCTTGGGTGGCAATAGCTTTCAGTTCAGCTGGAGTTGGGTAGAATCACATCTCTCCAGTGGGTAAACTATATAGTCTTTCTGAATTTTAGTTTTATTACTTTAAAGTGGGAGTTACTGTGAGAATACTATGAAATATACACAAAATGCTTGCCATAGTATCTGATGTATGTCAAATGCTCACTAAGTGGTGCTTAAAGAGAGTTAATCAATCATTCCCTTTGAATAAACCACATGTCTCTTTGGGTTGATTATTTTTTACTTTGGATTTTTTCCTTGAATCTAATAAATACAGTCATTTATTTGTATTTTTGTTTAAATACAAACAAAATTACTTGTGTATTTGTGTAGGAGAGGAGAGAACTTTATTTAAAATAATTATTTACCATTAGGTAAAGAAATAAATGTTGAGTTATACTATTTGGAGTGTTGAAAGATTACTAGTACAATTCATGAAAATGTACTTATCCCATTGAATCCATTTGTGTCTCAAAAAGGGAGACCAACAACTTAGTTTTTCTACGATATCTCTTGGTTTTAGCACCACAAGTCCCATACCTGGGAAAATCTATCCATTCTGAGAAATTCAGAGTAGCTTTTAAAAATCCTAATTTCCTATGATAAAATAACTATATGTGGAAAAGTAGGGGCACAGGGCTATAACAGAAAGAATATAGGCAGATTTCACATGTAGGCCACATAATTTAATAGTGATATGTCCTTACACAAGTTTCTTACTTTCTCTGAGGCATAGAATAAAAATTCTTTGCACAGTAAGATTCACTGAGATATTATATGAGAAAATGCCTGGCAACAGTGGGCACTCAATAAAAACAACCCTTTATTTGATAATCTAGTCCTTGACAATATTTTCTTTTCCTTGAAATAAATATAAAATTATGTCTAATAATAAAAATTGATTGTTATGGGTATCTAACATCTTTAATAAATGAACTAGAAGGTGTGGTAAATGTATTATGGTTGAAAGAAGATATTTTTGAAGGGCAAGAAGCATATTTCATGATAAGGTATTATTGTAATGGGGTTTTTATCTTAATACCATTATTTTTGAATCTCCTCTTTTATATCCATAAGTTTTCCAAGGACAGTAGAGAAGTCACGGAGATGTAGCTCTTTGGCCTTAGTAAGTCGTTGTTATACACCCGGACTTCTATAACAGTCTCAGGGGCTACTCCTATTACACGCTCCACACTCCTCCCCTCCCTGTTCGGCTCAACCAAAGCAGTTAACGCAGAGATGGTCCTTCAGATGATGGCAAATAATGCAAATAGGGAGCTACAGTGCAAAAGAGAAAAGGCATGTATTAGGCCCACTGGATTTTACTGAGAAACTTGGAAAAGCCATCACCTTTCAAGTCAGCTCAAGGGCATGGAGCTTCTGTGGTGCTTGGTTGTACCTGTGACATGCAGGGGGTGAGAATGTATTTTTCACATCCTTCTTACTGTTTACATCACTGCACAGGCTCCAAGTCAGTGCCTCTCATGTTATGGCCTGGGACATCTCTCTACCCTGTCTCCGGTGGGAGAATTTGCTGGTCAAGTTTCATCTAAAGCACTACTCTTGGTGCATCATTCTGTGCCCTGACATTTGGATTTTGTATCTGGAGCACTCCTTTAGAAAGGTTTAAATCAAAATGAGGACCTTCTGGTAGCTGATGAAGACACATGCTATCAAAGTGGAATTAAAGCAATTTAATTATAATGAAGTCCAAGTAACTTTGAATGCATTAAAATCAATGTATCTGGAGACAGAATTGTCAAAATCCCATGGTAAGGTGAAACATGGATTAAGCGATATAAAAAGGATCTATCAGACATTCTTTCTTTCCTGAAAAAAGCTCTTGATATGGTGATGATCATTTATATCTCTTGAAAGACTGATTAAAGTTCTAGTGAGTGCCTGAAGTATTTTATAAAAGTTTCATGTCCCTGGCTAATTAATCCAATTGAACTAATTCTACTGTAAAGGTGAAAACAGATGCAACATTTTTAAATAATCATGCACACCAATTTTAAGATGACATTGATCTCAACACCAGTGTGGCTATTTTCCTTTTTTGTTTAATTAATGATAGATTAAATTGCTGCCTAATTTAATTAGGGAGGTAAAGCATTTCCGATCATGATTTTGTAACATGAGCCCATGGATCCTATATCTGGGCTAGCTTTAAAGCATCATGTCATGTGTCTGGGCACAATTTCAATAGCACAGAAGAGTGCAGATGAAACAATTTAATTCCATTCACACTAGTGCTTCTCACCCACAAAAGTGGGTCTGAAACAGATTTTACAAAGGCAGATAAATCATCTCTCTATTATGTTTTAGCCACATCTACATAGTTTCAGAAAACTGACCAGTTTAGAGAGAACCTCAGGAGGGCTCATTTTATTTTATTCTTAAATAGTACTACTTTCCTAACACTCATCTCAGAGAAAGAAAACTTTTTTCTTTTAATAAGGTTAGTGAATACAATCTAGTGAAATCAACTCAAGCTAGCTTAAGACTTTTAGGCTTAAAGAAACAGATTTATCAGGGAAATTGTCTTCCTAGACTATGAAATGTAAGATGAAAACCAAGATGAATGACTGGGGCTCAGTTAAGACAGAATGTTCAGAGCTAAGGGCAATGGTTCCCCTTTGTTTGGGTTTACGCAGCATGTGGGAAGCCAAGAAAGGGTAATGGTGGCTTTAGAACACCTGGCTGCATTATTTCAAACAAAAACCTCTGACTGGTCCAAGGAGATTGTCCATATGGAGATCTCTACATGGAGAGAGCACGAAATGGCCTTTCCATAGACAATGCAGGGCAGGTGCTCCTAGAAGAGAATTTGGAACACACTGCAGCGTCTATTTTCAGTGCACCTGTTGAGAGGGGGACTGATAAAGTTGTGTAGTCTGTGAGTCTGTGGGGCTGAGGCTGTCTCTCATTCTGTTTGTGTCTTCAGCTCCCAGTAATATGTGAAGATCAGGGCCCTTGGGTCCCATCTCTGCTCCGTCAGCATGGCAATCAATGGTAAGCCACTTGGTTTCCCTGGATCCTGCTGTTCTCAGATGTGAAATATAGGAGAGCTAAACAAGATCTCTTTCAGCCATAAACTTTTATGGCGTAACATAAATGACATTGTTTCAGACTTTATATGACCTATTCTCCGAAAAACAGAGGGCCCATTTTTGACTCTTTTATCATCTAATTTCATAGAAGAAAGAAGAATTCCAAGAACTATAGAAATGTGGTTTTTTTTCCCCTTCTGTTCCAATTACCCTTCTCTAACACAAGGATTTTGGTAGATTTAAAGGACTGTAATGTTTTAAAATGGGTCTTTTGGAAACCTCCCTGGGCCAGGTCTCCCTAGCAGATTCACAGCAATTTGATGAGTTAGTCATGAAACTTTACCTTAGAGTCTGATACCCAAAAACTGCCTTTCCCCCTACTTCTCCAACCCTTCTCCACCAAATTAACAGATAAAAAAACTAGGCATGAGGAGACAGAATTTAGTATTCTCTCACAAAAATGTTGACATTCCTCATTTAGTCTTTTTTTTTGCCGTTTTCTTTTTTTAAAAATATAACATTTATTGCTTTAGATGGTTTCTTTTAGATTGTTTATTTTCATTCTGAGTCTGGAAGTTCTAAACAACTGAACACAAAGAGGAACAAAAAGTACCAAAACCAAACTTAGGATTCTCTATTCATGTGGAATAAACGAATTTTGTATATAACACGTAGAAGCAGTTTTTTAAGTTCCCTTTTAAAAATATGAATTCTGCACACTTATTATTGCTTCCTGTTTAATGCATGGGTGGCAATCAATAAATCAATTTCCTTCTTGAAGAGAGAGAGGAGAGGAAAAAGACGAATATATGATGAATCTTCCTGAAACTGGCATCCGACTGTCCCGTGGCTGCCCCGAGCTGCATGCGAGACAGCCCTTGGGGTTCCTAATGTAGTCTTTAAACTTTAAATATTCACCCAGGAGCTTGAAAGCTCATTCTTCCTTTGGCTTGGCAGAGAAAGAACTGCTGTCCAAAGTGTGGGGAAGGCCTTTGAGGTTTGGAAGTGGACTAACCCATTGCCACCACCACCAACCAGCTGGTCACATTCTTCAAGTTTGAAACACTGGATGTTTTTCAACTGGCATAAAAGCTGTATCTTGCACCCTTCCCTCATTGTGTCCACTCAACTACGAATGCCTTGGCCTCACCCACAGAGGTACTCACCTGCTCCCTGATGCCTTCCCACAAGCACATCTGCTCCCACCATGCAGCCCATGCCCAAGATGCAGACAACAATGCCGATGAAATGCACAGCCTTGTACCGGATCAGCAGGAAGAACCAGGACAGCAAAATCACTACCGGGATCACGAAACAGTCCAGGAGCTGGGGAAAGGTAGGGAGGGAAACAAGAGCAGGCAGTTCAGCAGGGAGCTATTCATGTGACCAAGACAAGGAATTTAGCTCTGCAGAAAGGGTTAACTATGAGGTACTTCAAAAAGTTCACTGAAAAGTAAACTTTAAAATCATCTTATTTTGGTAAAAATTTTTTAAAAAATCCATGTATAGGTTTTTTTTTAAGAAATGACTTAATGATTTTGTTTGAAAAACAGTAACAGAGAGAGAGGGAATGACAGAGAGAGGGAGAGATTGATCTTCTATTCACTGGTTCACTTTCCAAATAGCTGCAATGACTGGGGTTGGGCCAGGCTGAAGTCAAATGCCTGGAATTCCATTCAGGCCTCCTACATGGGTGGCAGGGATCCAGGCACTTGGGCCATCTTCTGCTGCTCCCCCAGGTGCATTAGCAGGGAGCTGGGTTGAATACAGGACTTGAAGTAGTGTTTGCTAGCATCACGGGCAGTGACTTAGCTTGCTAGGCCACAATGCTGGCCCTTTCATGTGTAATTTCTCTATAATACATATTTTCTACACATTACAAATTTTTTTGCTCCAAAATAAACTCATTGATTAAATCCTATTTTCTACACATTTTTTGAAGTACCCTAGTATTTCCCCTGAGTCTGAGCTTTTTCACAGACTCAGAACTGGTACATTCAAAAGAAACTCTGAAATAAGTAAACATTCATTTTATTCTCTTCATTTAATTGTAGACATCCCCTACATCTCAGAGGAAGGAGAAGGCATTCTGCCTTATGTCTTCTGCAGAGCCCAGGCAGGATCCATGTGAGCTCTGGAGTCATGGGGAGAACACATCCAGCCATATCAGTGGTCCCAATTCTCCAGGAATCCTGGGAATGGGAAGGGAGGAGACAGAAGTCTTTGAGTGCTTTACTACGAGTGCTTTAAAGGTTGTTAGAATTTAACAAAAGTTCAACTTAATTTCTCCCAGACAGTTGCTCTCCACTACTAGCAAATGGCACTTCATCTAACCTTGTCATTCACTCTTAGAAACAAAACAATTGTTCTAAATATAAATACAAATATTAGTTTCAAGAGTTTACAAATACTTTAAAAGTACTGTTATAAGAAAAGAGTATAAAGGAGATGGTTGAACAGAGTATAGGGAAAAAACTCTTTGATTTCTTTTTTTAAATGTATTTTGCACAAATATTGAGAGTCCATCTGACATAGGAGTCCCATCTGACACAGAAGGGTGAAGAGTTAACCCTTATCATGCAGTGAAATGAGGACCTGTGTACCGGAAGCCAGCAGACTTGAATTTGACCCTTAACCTCAGTTTCCTGTGAGTAGTATAAGGATAGCAACCCCACCAACAAATCTTTTCCAAGGATCAATGTGAAACTCAGAGACAATGTGCATGAATGTATTTTGTAAATTATGATGTTCTCAGTCCTGGTATGTAAATCTGCTTCTGAACTTGTGCTCTGGGTCCATGGGGCTGGTTTAGTCCCAACCAACTCTGGTAAGACCCGTGGAGGTGCTATCAAAAGTAGCGTCTCAACTAGACCAACTGGTGCTCACAAAACCTCAACTCCTTGTACCAAATGAGAAACTTGTGATCTGTCTCACTGCCCCGTACAGTTACTGATGGCATCCTAAGCCAGTGCCACCTTCCTCCCTACCCTGTCCCCCAACCCCCAGCCCTCAGCAGTGAGCACAGGGCAGTGATTCCAAATATTCCTTCACCATCATAGCCAACATCCCATTGGTCAACCAGTTCTACAAATCCCACTTTCTAAGTGTCTCTAACCTACTTATGCCACCTCCACTTCAGTCACCTAGACTGAGCTAGCATTCACTCTTACCTGGAAGGAGCCCTTCCTTCCTGCCTCAGAGTTCTTACTAATATATCCCCCTCCTTTTGCAATACTCAGGAAGTTCCAGAACTTCTGCTTCCTTTTCCATCAGACCTGCACATACATGTTGTCTCCTCATGAAAAACATTGTGGTTAGTTCAGGACCAGGACTAGGACCAGGATAGTTCAAGTCCTGTTCCATGCTTTTCTTGCATCCAGTATCATGGTACTTTAACAAGCTTCTGGGAAATGCATATTATGAAAAAACAAGTATATATTTACAAAAAATTTTTGCACCAAAAATAAACTTATCTTTTAATTCCATTTTCCATGAACTTTTCAAAGTCACCTTGCACTTCCCTTTTGTAGTGCCAACTGCAATCATACTTATTATGGAATTATTGGCCTAATGTCTGACTCCTCCACATGTCAGGAGGTCCACGGGGGCAGGACCTCATTCCCATTATCTAGAAAACTGCTGGGCTCATGGGATATATACATTCAAAGTTACTGAAGAGACACATACAAAGATTTTTAATGATCAGAATGATGCTTTTAAAATAGATTCATTCACAGCTGAGTATTCGCAAAGCACCCCTGAATGCAAGAGTGGCTCCTTGGCATTGTAAATAGAACTCAGAATCTCCTCTATTCCCATAACTGGTGGTGACCTGGCAGAGGCTTGTGTTTCTTTGCATTCTAGCCTTCTCCCTTGCAAAATGAAACAAGCATTTGGAGAAGTAAGTCGTGTACCTGGTGGCTGTGAAATGGTAACACAGAATAGGACCATGTGAGTGCCGAGTACCTCTGTGGTGGCTGAGGGCTGAGTCCAGAGGCCACATGGCCCTGGAGGGGCTGTATGTGTGTGTGTGTGTGTGTGTGTGTGTAGGGATGATGGCAGGTAGGACTGTACTACATGTAGCTCGATGCACAGTTAATTAGCATTGTCAGCTAATCCTACTTAAGGTGGTAATACAAAGGGTCTTCAACAAATTCATGGAAATGTGTATTATGAAAAAAAACTATGGATGAATTTCAAACTTTGGCATCAAATGTTAATCTTTTCATTCCAGTTTTCCACGAACTTTCGGAAATCCCCTTGTACACATGAAGTTAAGTTATATAATTGTCCTCAGATGTCACTTCAGTACATTAGGAACGTTCAGTTTGCCAGTGAAAACTGTGCAGTGGCATAAAATAGCTGGTGTTTTGTTTTTAAAAAAGATGGAATCAAGTTGAGATACATAGCTACATGCTCTGCAATTGGGATTTCATTATCTGGCTGGAAGTCTTCAGTTAGTGGAACTGAAGACCTCCATTCCTGAGTTAATGAGGAAAAACTAGGCCAACATCCAATCTTTGGGGAGGGCTGAAGTGAAGCCTTTTGTTCTCAGTGTCATTAAAAACCCCAAAACACTTGAGTCCTAGAATCTCTCTCTTCCATGGTTTGCATTGGAAAATCCTCACTTGTAAATGTCTGGTGGTCCAGGAGTAGGGGAAGACTTTCAGAAAGAAGGGAATGTAGGGTATAGGCAAGCCAGGATTTCTGGAATATCAGAGCAAGGGTGGCTCTGTGCGCCGCATACAATGAGGACTCAGTAACTGGTGGCTGGATGCACTAATGAATGGAAAATCGCATGGCATCACTGTCAGAGAACATTAGAGATCACCGAGGTTGCTAGTAGCATTCTGTGTGGAACAACGCTTTCTTTTGCAAGACTGCCTTATGATCTTTACAGGGCATTTAGCATTGTTGGGCTCTGGCCATTAAAACAATCTACACATTTGCAAATGCCCCTGGAGGGCAGTTTGTCCTTGCAATGGAAGGCCATGACAAGACCTCCTTATTTAAAAGTCAGGGCCTCACAAATTCCTAGAAGAGAAGTGACGTGTTCAAGGTCACACAAATTGTTGGTATCAGCAGTAGTTGTGTCATAATGACTTTTCATGAACAATATTTTAATGAAAGTCACTGACAGGGATATTTAATTGCTACAGCTGGAGGTCTCACCATGGCATCTGTAACTACAGAAAAGGAACTGTTTGACAGCTGCGTTAGTAAATAGGCTATTATTTTTTTAGTGATTTTTGCCTCTAGACTTTCCCCTATGGTCATGAAGCATAAAACACACTGACAAAATAATTTTCCAATGTTTTTCTGGTAGCTTAACTTCTTAGTCAAGTGGTTGTTAGCGTGAAAACAAAGAAATGCACTGCATTCGATGCCTATTACTGAGATTGTTAAAAAGAAAAAAGAAAAAATCTGATTCTGCCATTAATCTGTGTAGCAGATTTAACTTTATTATATACATTTTTCAATCTGAAAAAATATTGATAGCAAAAAAATGAACAATATTTCTTCATCATAAGTCTCAAAGGACATTAAGAACAATTTAGAAAGCAAAACGTTCATTACCTTTAGATTTACATAGCATCTCTTTTCCCCAAAGGATTTAACCTAATTTTACTGTTTTTATGTCATTAATCTTCAGACCACATAGGTCAGAGAGGTCTAAACTCCTGTTTTCTGAGATTAGTGATAGAGACATTGAGATACGTGATGCATAGTTGCTGCGGCAAATTCTTTGAAATCATGGTAATAGCACCAGGATTAGTATTTGAACCTGTAGCTTTAAAGAACATTTACAGTAAGGTTGTGTTATGTTTACATGCATAGTTTATAAAATTATAATAATAATAACTACTTAATCTTTATCATCGCCCTCTGAGGGAGCTATGACCATACTCATTTTATAAATGAAGAAACTTAGATTTAAGAGTAAAACAAGTCAGTGTTAGACTAAAATACTAATCTCTGGACCCCTAGATCAGAGTTCAAGTGTAGCTGTCAGAAGTCCTTTAAATAAAAAAGGTCCATGCTGACACTGCTGTTAGGACAACAGAAGACAGTCAGTGTTAAATAGCAATAAAATTTATACACACCTGCATATTGGAGGATTGTGGCATCATTTAGCTTCCCTCTCACTTTCCCTTCCCTCCCTTCATCTAGTCTGTGATCATCTTACCTCTGCAACTTTCCCTGAGGTCCTTAATTACACTTGGTTATACCCTCTCCTACACACACACACACACACACACACACTCTCTCCCTCCCTTGCAACATCCACTGACGCTTCCCCCTTCCTTTGGATGCTGTCCCCATCT